TAGTATTAAACAATTTTAATAATAATATTACTTTATTAACGATTCATAATAAAAATTTTTTGTTATATATTGTAAGAATTCTCATTTTTTAACATGTTGTTTTTTTTTTCTCAGACCTAGGTATTCCTTATTTTGGTTATTAAAATTTAATTAATTAAAATTATTTGAATTGTAAATGCTATCACAAAAAGAATTTGTACTCCATTATTTTATTCTCTATTTGAGATAATTAAATTTTGATTAAATTACTATTAGGAGAATGACTACAATTCATGAATGAAACTCAATAAGCATTAGAATACTATTTATAAACATTTACTATAATATACATATCATAGAATATATTCTTACTCTGAATTTAGATTTTCCTATACTTAATGCTTTATAATAATATTATTTTGCTTCCTTTTTCAAAAGCACATTTAAAAAAAGTGTATAATGAGCCGGCTTAAATATAAGAACATAAAATACTATGAGGTTTAATTTAATTTCATCTATTTTAAAAAAGATGGCTTGATAAAAAATTCCAAGACTTCAATATTTTTTTGAAAATGGCTTATTTTGTATATTTTGTTGAAAATAATTAGGGAATAAGTTAACAATCTTTTGTGTTTTCATAAGCCTCATTTTCCCTTTTTTTTAGAATAATGTATTGTTAAAACATTAAATTGCGTAGGCATATTTCTGTTATTTAGTATTAGAAATGGAACATCATAATTTTATAATATGGGCCTATTTAATAGTTTAATTTTTAGAAATGCCTTTATTGTTATGCGCTCTATTGCTTATTCATAAGTAACAAAATCTTCTTAATATCTTTGCAAATTCCTAATAAAGTAAACCTAATTTTATTGAAATTATATCCTTTATTAGAAGATGGTTACTCATTATTTGGATTGATTCTTAATGTGATATCTATAAAAGTAAAGCATCAGCAAATTTTTCTTAGTTATTTAATGTAGCTCCTGCAAAATGATAATGAAATACCTTGATTATTTTATGCATTATCATTAGATAGATTGATTTATAAGGCTAAGCAATAGCCTCATCTTATTTATTGATAAAATTATGTGAGTATAAAGCAATGGCTTTTGAATAAAAAATAAATTCAATTACCTTTCCAATAATAGACTTGATTTTGATTATACCCATCCATAATGATTACTCCTTATTGATAATTTCCCTCTTTATATATCATCTATAATTATGTAATTGTTCTCCTAAGAAAAAAGAGAATAAATGAAACCTTTTTTAAAAACTTTCTCTTCTTGTGTTCAGATTTTAATGAGTCTATTAATTAACATATTAATTATGGTTCCTTGTTAAATTATTTTAGTCACATTTTCACTAGAGATAGGAGGAGGAATTGCTATGGGAGTTGTAGCTATAATGTTATCTGAGTGATAAAACAAATCTGACCTTCAAAGTTTTTAATTGTATATAAGGTCTCTTGATCTTTGTGTGATTGGAGGACCAATTTTCCTTATTTTTTTTGGATACAAAACACCTACAATAGATTAAATCACCACTACTAAGAATTGCTGTTGATGTTTTCCAAAATAAAATTTGTGCCTAAAGTATGGAATATGTATAAATTGATATAAAAAGTGCCTGAGTTTATTGGTTGGTTTTATAAAAATTCACAAACACATGTACATCCAGTAGGTTGATAATTTATAATTATATCTCATTAAGAATTTATTTTCACTGATAATTTGGTTTATCATTTTCAATCTTTTAATTTTTCAATATCAATAATTTTTAAACAACAAACTCAATCCAAAATTTTGGTATTTCATTTCATCAGCAAGTAACATGCTTAATAGAGAAACTCAGTTAAAAAATTCAAAGGGTTACGCTATTTCATTATATGATTTACTATTATTGATTAATAATCATAAAAATGTAATAAATTCTGTCTTTCTCTCTTAATTCTATATGGAACATAAGCTACCCTCTGTTATCTTTACCTATTTACAAAAAAGAAACAGACTAATCGATAGTATATAGTCTGATAAAATCTTCTCCACTTATATTTGTATACTTTTTAAGGGAGAAAAGTATTTACTAATTTTTTTGAAGGCTAAATGAGATCAATCCATGTTATTGTTACTTAAAAGAAGTAGTCCAACATAAAATACCTAAAAAATTTCTTAATCTTAAAAGATTATTGAATAATAATATCCTAAGGGAAGAAGCTAAATTGGAAAAAAAATTTTATGACTTTGGTTGATGAAAAATAACAAATGTAAATAGGTATAGAACTTATTATACTAGAAAATAATGAAATAACTAAAGCAACTCAATATTAATTAATATTGTGATTAAGAATAGACTAAGATGATGTTGAAATTTATAATGAATCTCTGAGTAAATTAATTTCGACTACCCTCAGTAAATATTTAATTTGAAAAAATGAAAAAAATTATTTAAGAGAAATTTATTATATTGCTGTTATTATTTGAATACATCAAATTTATTAATAATAAATGAAATATTTTTCTAATAAAAGGTAAATATTGATAATTTTTTCCTTGAGTTTATTATTATATTATTTTCAATCATCTAAAAATTTTAGTAGATAGTTTATTGAAGAATTTATTAAGGTAAACATAGTTACCTATCTATTTTATATTTTAACATTGATAAAGAAGTATAAAAAGAAACTCTATATAAAATTGCATTCATAATATATATTTAAATATCAAATTTTAATGACCACATCTGTCCAATACGCTTCCCATACTAAACAATTTTTATGACTAATCTATTTCTATAATACTTTTTATAATAAGATACCCTTTTTGAAAATAAGCTAACATCTTCATCTTTTATAAACCATAGTACTGAGAGTAATTTAAGGGTTTCAAATTAATTTTGCAATTTTGTACTCTGGAATGAAATAACCCTTCTTTTGAAATAATTGAAAAAGATTTAGGATGTTCCAATATTATTTACTTTGCTATTGTATTTAAATAAAACATAGATGAGTAAAATTAATCGACTGAAACTTTGCTCAAAATTAAAGCTGGAATGAAATAATCTAAAATAATAACTCTTCAAAATTAAATATTTAATTAGCTAAATTCCCTTTAAGTTTTGAGGCATAATACTTGAATTTATTACATGTTTAAGAACCAAAATATCTACTAACTCCAGCAAAATTTTTCAATTTTTTTTTTAAAACTGATTCAAACACTTCCCATACTTATGTAATGGCATTTACTGTAAAAATTAAAACAAGACTCAATTATGTTTAAATTGAAAAAGCTTTAAATACCTGCTGTTAAAATTTTGTAAATGACAAAATCTGATAGATAACATTCATAATAGCTAAGACTAATATTGCCTTTGTGATAGTATTATCATAAACACTGACATAGACAAAAGATAAAATTTATAGTAGAAAGTCCCAAGCAGCTTTTATATATTTTTAATAGCAATACAATTTTTTCGATTATTAATGGTAAAACCTTTACAATTTATATAGACAGTAATTATCGCCAACTGATTCTTGTAAAAAAATCTGTTTTATCATAAGCATTTATTGTATCATTTGCAAAATTAAAAATTTAATTAAAGTCACTTTGTCTTTGTTTTTTTAAGTTGGAAATTAGCTCTAAAAATTCTTTAGAAATTGTAAAATACTCATTTTTAATAAATTAAGATTTTTATTCTTCTTACCAACCTACAGTTATTTTTGGATTTCCAATAAATTGTATTTCTTAATTATTGTTCAATTCTTTATCAACATCTTTAACCAACCACACAATATCAAAATATTGTAAAGCTTAAGGGTAAAATCTTAGATTTGGAATACTTTTAAAAATACCCTTCAAAAGTATTAAATTATTTTTGTCATGCTACAAAAGACTTATTTTGTCTACATTAATGAATTTAAAACAATTAGCTAAATACTTCAAAGTATCTTATTCATATTTATCAATAAAATGAAATTAAATATTTTAATACTGCTTTTA